GCTGGTTCCTTTGAAGCGTCTGAGGAAAGAACCAGTTTCCTTGGCTTCTTCAGCTTCTGGAGGTCACCTGCATTCCTTGAGTCATGGCCCTTTCCTTGCATGACTACCGCTTCATGCTTCCTGCATCACAGCTACTACCACTGACCCTCATCTTGCTGTCTCTGTCTTACAAGAATGCTAGCAATTATACTGGCTCAACTTGAAGAAACTGGGATAGTCACCCCCGATCTCCAAATATTTAATTTAATCACATCTGAAATGTCCCTTTTATCATATAAAACAGCATATCCACAGGTTTGAAAAGGATATAAAATTTAGCCTCTAGTGAGATTAGAAATTTCATATAAGGATTGTGATTAACGGTGATTAGGACATGAACATCTTTAGCGGGTTATTATTCAGCCAACAACATTCAGCTATTATTCATCCTGAAGATGAATAACATGAGAAAAATAAATATGAAATCAGTTTGATGTTTATGATTTTACATCTAAGATGTAAAATCTACTAAGATGTGAAACAAAAAATGGGATAAATATGTCTAATATTATTCTACAACAAATTCTATTATTCTATAATACATGCTTTAAAACAACAAAAGCAAAATATAAAGAATAGTAAACTAAGGTAAGTTTTAAGGAAAGCATTTTAAATCTAAATATAAAAATAGATAAAATAAAATTGTTTTAAAACAACAAAGATGAGCAATTATCAAAAACTAGAATCAAGCATTTTTAGTGAATCCCAAACATGATTTTTTTCTTGACAGTCACAGCTGTGTTTCCCAAAAGGAGTTGCAATCTATTATTAAAATAAACAAAAAGTCATGGAACAAAAAGGCATAGAAAGTCTGACAGGATCATGAATTATAGTGCAATAATAATTCAATATAATTACAAAGCATGCCTAAACTAAAGAAAGAAAATGGATTGTATAAACAGGCTTTTATTTCCATGAAAGAGCTCTTATGTATTTCTGATAAGGCAAAGTGTCAGTGTATAGATTATGACAATACACCATCCCAGTTTTCCCCACGTAAGTTCAATAGTTCACATTTATATTATGAAAATCCTGCTGATTAAAGCCAAAGTTAGGAACTGAATGGAAACTCAACAAATATTGTAAGGATAACTGTAGAACAGATGTCACCTAGCCCCTGACAAATCATTCTTCTCACTGTTTTGAATGCTCTTATTTCAGCTGTCACAAGCAGTAGTACGTAAACTGATGGAACTAGAACTGACTGTTCCAGGAACTTCAAATTGGGATGATAACATTTATTCGACGATTTTGGTGACACTAGTGTTTATGTTGGTAAATACCACTTAGAGTACTGATAAGTATACCTTACAAAAATGTAAGTTAGCAAAATACAAACGAGCACACAGACATGAGAAATAGGAACTATAAAGCTTCACAATGAGGCCATAAAACAGGCTGAAGAAGCATACAGCCACAGAGATATGGAAGAGCTTAAGGTTTATTAATATGGCTGTAATTTTTCCTCCACTACACAATTATAGTTTATGAATAATGTGAGATGACTTCTAGTTTAGCCAGCAACATTCGGCATCTAAATTTAGAGAAAACAAAAAGCAGAAAGAATTTTTTTTCAAATAGAATTGGTTAAACTTTCCTGACAATAACATTAATGCCAATAACCTTGCTTGCTTCTTTCTTTGATAATCAACATTATCCACTGATGAAATGGGTTGCCTCTCTTCCTTTAAAAGTTGCCCTCCATCTTTCTGACACCTGACTTGTGGCTATTCATGTTATATCTACTCCCAGGCTCTGTGTTCTGCATTGTGCTTTCTTTAATAAGCACTACTGGCTGAAGCAGAATGGTTTGAACTTCAGAGGAAAGTACAGGGCAATACTGAAGCTTTTTAAATGTTAAGACTTCCTTTGGCACGATCTCAGCTCACTGCAACCTCCACCTCCTGGATTCAAGTGATTCTCCAGCCTCAGCCTCCCAAGTAGCTGGGATTACTGGTGCGCATCACCATGCCTGGCTAATTTTTGTTGTTGTTGTTGTATTTTTAGTACAGACGAGGTTCACAGTGTTGGCTAGGCTGGTCCTGTACTCCTGACCTCAAGTGATCCACCTGCCTTGGCTTCCCAAGTTGCTGGGATTGCAGGCATGAGCCACTGTGCCCGGCCAGGACTTCCTTTATTTTTGTTAGTTTTGAAGAAGTATCCTCTCATAATATAACTCCTGTCCAGACATGAATACCCTTTTGGGTTACACTTTTGAGTCATAACTATTATTTTCTGACCATTGTTTATAACAAATTATGAAGAATAAGTGTTGCCTATTTTTTTTTCCTTTGGAAGATATTTTAATGTTACTCATATAATAACTCATGCTTTCCTAACTAGTAAGCAACAAGGTAATAGAGCATTTGCCTTGAGAAGACTGAGCAAATATATAAAATATGACCGTAAAATGATGTATGTGTACAATTCTACTTTATAAGGGTATATAAAATAAATATTACCGGAAGCAAAAAAGAATAATTATGATAAAATGGAATATTTACATCTATTTAATGAGTATAGTTCTGATCTTAAACATTTAGGCTATGTCTGGTCAATACAAAGTGAAGGGCAGATTGGTTTTCATCCAGGCTATATGATCAAATAAATAACAAATATAAATAATTTGACTCTTTTAGACAAAGGTTTCCAAAGCTTTCAAAATTACACTCTGTAGTAATGACATTATTCAGTCTGTTATTAAGACATCTAAATGCTCAACATTAGTCTACTGTTTAAATTTGTTCCACCAACCATTTTACTTAACTAAGCAAATAGCAAATTTATTTGTTCATTTATTCATTCACTATTAGCTAATATAAAAAATATTTACTTACGTGTTCATTATTTATTGAGTGACTGTCTTCTGTATTTTATGGAAAATGAAGAAGTAGAATACATGATTGCTAATTTTATGAGTTTTATAGTCGATTAGAGAATAAAAGGAATACATACAAAAATAATTTAATTACAGTATAGAAGCTATTAAACAGGCAAATAATAGAGATGCAAAACCTAGATTGAAAAGAGTGCACAAAGTGAGTAAGAACAGCCATAAAAATTTCTGTTTAGAAGATAGGAGAAGATCAAGAACAAAAAGCAAGGGTAAAGACTCCACAGTGAGAATTTATTGAATATGGTGCCAAGGGTAAGTTCTTCTTGGCTAACTACTGGGATGGGTCTGTGCACAAGAGTGAGAGGATATAATATTAGAAATGATGAAATATTTTATCATAATCATCAAAACTCTGTAAAAAATTATTTAAATATTGCATGTTCCCTGGTATTCTCAACTCAATATAATCATGTAACTACTAATGAGACCTACCAGAATTCCTTCCTGATATTTGGAAGGAATTCAGTATTTATTACAAAATAGATACATTAATGATACCTACTGAGCTATGACACATGCAAAAGAGAAAAAAGATCCTTGCAATAGCTGACCTAACACTCTCTTGGATCTGATCAGAGAGGCATGCAAGATAAAGAGTGGGGCTGTTTCCTATAGGACGCAATATCTTGATAGCTGTGTTTCAGTATTAGTGTAGTGGTGTCATGCTAGATAACCAGGGTGCATAATGGGGTGTGGAGTCAAATAGATTCCTGCAAAGTTTTACCTTGAGAAAATGATATACCTTACTCTTGGAAAATGAAGTACATAGATAGATTAACCACATTTTCAGTTAATGAGTGCTATACTGTCTCGAGTCATATATAGTAGTTTATATTTTATTTCAGAAAGATTTCCTAGTGATTTATAATGCATGTCTATGTTATTTAAATAATGTAAAAAGTCACTGGAAGTGAATTTTGGACATAATCCCCAAATCTTTTAAATAATTATCTAAAATATCTACACATGGTCCATTATCCAGCTTAACTATATACTTCTACAAATAAATAACACTCACATCACAATTAAAATATAAAATAGGTGTCATTAATTAAATGTAATATACAATTGCTTTTATACTACGCTATGCTGCTGCTACTAGGAATAATGGAGTAAATATTTGAAGTAATTCTTTTACTAGTCTGAGATGGTCTCAGGAAAACTAGACTGTACTCTTGCCATTCTTACTAGGCTTGCAATCAAAGTCTTATATTATTATTTAATAAAATATAAGTATCTCCCAAAAATACAGGAAAAAATCCTTAGGTCTTCTTTCTTCAACCTGAAGTATTATTTCACTGTGTGGTTTGTCAAAAATAACACAAATTTAATATTCTAAAACCTTAACAAGCAAACTGACTTTCTCGAACGGCTTTTAAGAGGCTTAGGAAATCTACTATTACTTTATCAAAAACTTTGTCCCAAAAGTCCAACTTATCATGGACAACAGTCAAACCTCTCTCAAACCTCTTTGCTATTCCTTTCAAGACATGAGTCTGCTTGTCACTCCTTCCCAGTCTTCTCCTGCCTTTCCCCGCCCTTTTCATCTTGCTGAGCCATTCTTTCAAGATGTTCACATTGCCCTATCTTATGAAAATCAATTTTCTTATTTGCCTCTTACAATTCTCTGCTCTACATATCACAAAATGAACATAACAGATAAAACAAGGATTCTCCTCAGGAAACTGGAAGAAAAAAACTTGAATACTTAAAACATTTTTTAATGTTCCAACATACAAGCATACTGGAAAACAAAAACTGCTGCCCAAGAGTCTTCATGGCATAAATCCTTTCTCCAGGTTGTATCCAATCCCAGCTTTTCAGAGGGAATACATCAATGCTTTTAAGTCCGTAAGTTTTAATGTAACATTAAAACTAAATTTGAATTGCAAAACTATGTGGGTGACTGAAATCACTGATTTAACAAAATCTAGAAACATGGACATTTTATACTAGGAAATGGCAGGCATGTTTTGAGTTGCTCCTTATTTTTCAGTTTTTATATTACTTCACTATCTCCTCTATTGAAATATTTGACAAAATATTAAATTAATTACAATCTTACCATTGTTGTTTCTTGAATGGATCCAAAACTGTTAATAAAAATGTTGACTACTACATCAACAGGAATGCCTATGAATAAAAATTAAGAATATATTTACTAGCTGTAAAAAGCTTGGTCAGAGTTATCATAGTTTTTTGGTTTACACATTTAATTATCATATTTTTTCCAATTCATATGGAATGCAAAATCTATGGTCTCAGTATAACATGTTCATAATTACTATTAACTCATTTTTCAAAACAGGAATCATAATACAAATAAAAAATGAGTTCAATTGTATTTTATAATGTTCTTTTTTTTCAGGAAGAATTATGTCTTAAATTGTAAGGACTCTGCAAAATACATTTACCTTTAAATCTTTTTTTAAATTGCCCTAATACATTTACTTTAAGGAACTACAAATTATTCTTAAAAAATCATTTTGAAAACAGGGTTTAATTTTTTTTGCATTTTTCTAATTAGTTCAAATTCTTACTTTAATAGGTAAAACAGTATTCAATAAATTTTACTTATAATTATTACATTTTAATTTTTAATTCATGAAAATGTAAAGCTAATTGGACACACAGCAGAGTCATTATAAAGATTTTTACCTGACCTTTTGAAAAATAATTAGAAAGTTCACGGAGTGAGAACTAAGGTATAATGTTGCAAATTTCTTTCTATTTTTTTTTCAACTCATTGTGGCTGCTGGTTGGGCTAACAAAGGGAAAATGTGAATTTAGCCTTTTAGCCACATAACCACTAACTGATGAAAAACAGGTGGTGAATCAATACATGGTAGACATGTGACAACCCAGACCATGGCTGTCGTTGAAAGTAACTGAATAGGTCCCAGTAATGAACAAAAACCCATTTTTACAACATAGTTGTATAACTTCAGTTGACTAGAAGCAGCTGCAGACTTGTTTTTTTCTAAAGGCAAAAAAAAAAAAAAAAATCAAACCTTATAATGTTAATCTGATCTACATTAATACCTGTCCTTAACCAGCAGCAAGGATTATAGTTTTCCAGAGGAGATTTTGTTCATACAGCTTTTTTCTAATTCATCAAAAGTACAAAAAAGGTCTATACAACTGCACAATCTGCTCTTGGCTTATTTTATTGTAAGCATACTCTTGGTTTTTAAAAGGTGTGATAAATGGTAATATCTAATTGGAATAAAAATAATCTATGTTGTAGAATACATAGTCACTTTTATTCACAAAGCCAACATGCTTTTAAAAATCACACAGCCATCATTTTTTCAGCAAAAGAAAAGAAAGAATTTTCTATTAATGTGAAATACTAACAAAATGTAAGAAAGACTCTAAATATACATCAGAACTGTTCTCTTTCCCTAAATAAGAAAATCATCATTCTGCAAATTATAACTCTGGTGTCTGTGAATGAAAGCCAGGTCTATTTCCAGAGTCTAAATTTTAAAGCACTAAGGTTAAGAATAGTACTTAGCAAACTCATTACAGAGGTTAGCCTATTAATTCACAGTATATCCTTTTCTGAATGTTTAAAAACAGGTAACCTATAAAGCAATGAGAATTCATATTTTACTTATCTTTGAATATTTTAGGCATTGAATTGCTCTGAACTTAAGGACATTTTTGTTACATGTCACTTTAAAATCTTACTGTTTTGAATATCACAACACATATACATATAGAATATCACAAAGTTCTATACATATAAAATTAATTTTTAAACAATAAAAATGAAAATTTATATGGGGGAGACAAACCTTTGAAGTTTGGTCTTATCCTGGGATCATAACTGACCAGTAACCTGTTCAAGATATTGCTAGTGGAGTTGGCAGGTACTCGGGCAAGGTCCTCTGCTGACTGCTGACTATAAGAGAGAGAAAAATCCTGATAAGTAGTTATAAATAGCAAACAACAGAAATGGGTAATTCTCATTGGGAGGAAAGACTGCCTTTTTGAGACAAATCCACAACTATAGTATGGCTTTTTCAAATAGAAATAGAGACTAGTAAACATTGTTAAAAACCCAAGAGGCATTGTTATTTATTTATTTATATATATATACACAATTAACTTTACTAAATGTATGAAACATTGCTCTAAATACTCCATGTTACTTTCTATAAAGTAAAATTAAGGAGACAGCTTACTTGTTCTGAAGCAACCTGCCATAGAAATCTAGGTAAGTAAAAAGGAAGTGCGCACAATGAGAAAAAAAAAAAAAACAGCAAAGAACATTTTTTGAAAAATGTGTAATATTAACCTGCCAACACAAAAACGATCTGACCAGAGAGATGGTCTAAGAATTCATAAGACAATCATGCTGACGTTTATAAAATGATATTCCCCAAGAAATACAGTGAACATTTTTCTCACTCAGTAAAATATGGCAGTCTGGGAGGCAGAAGGGAATTGGTAAAAGACTTTTCACTATTATCAGATAAATGAAACAAGTAAAATACTCTATATTATACAGAGCTGTAAGAGATAACTACCTATTGCTTTTCTGTATATATTTGTCATCAACTCTTTATCAAGAAGAGGAAAATCTTCATTGTTTTGCTATTTTAATTAACTTTGAATAATGATAAGTGACAAAATTGGTGGTTGCTTAAGAGCCCTTTTTTAGAAAGGCACTTTCTTGGAAGCCAAGGAAAACATTTTGTTGTTTTTGTTTTGGTTTGGTTTATTTTACCCCTCATAAAGTCTTATGCATAATAATTTTTCTCATTACCTACACACACACAAAATCCAGGACAATCACAAGGAAGAGTAAAACTCTACTTGGAGCACCTAGCACAGCATTTTCTGTATTGATATGGTAAAAAGTCTCAATTTCATAAATTACATTAATTTATATGAAGGAAACTTAGATGCAACAGGCTTGGCTTTGTATTGAAATCAAAACTCTATTAGGCATTTCTGAGTTAATTTTCATACAATCTGCCAATAAGAGACAACTATTGTAGGTGAGATATAACAGAAAAAAAAGTATGACATAATCTAATAATACTATGAATTGACACAGACAACTCTTTCAAACAGAAATTCAATCAGAGTGCAAAGCATTTTAAAAAATGAAAATCAATCAGTTAAACCTCCCAAAAGTGCAGAGATCATACGGATTTTTAAAAACTGCTTCTCGTGGCTTTATTTGCTCCAGTGTCACAGTTTCATAAACTTGAGGGCTGGTAATTAGATTTTCCATTTCATTGCAGGTAAAACTATAACTTCCTTACAACCAGTTGTCATCCTTTATCAAAAGATGGAAAACTCTAAAGAGAATGAGGGTATGTGGGAAAATTGGATATTAGGATGCAAATTAGTATTCAAATCTATCTACAAATTTTCTCATTCAAAGGAAGAAAAAGAATTGATGGATTACAAAATACACTTGTATTGGATCAATTCAGAACTGCTATTATTGTGTCTCTTCATATAAAATCCTTTACAAGTATATTCCTTCTAAACAATGAAAGGACAACATGAAGACAATTAACACTAAATTTTGTAGTTTAGAACTTTCCCGCCGATTTTTCTGCTTCTAGCTGTAGGCTGTGTCAGTCAAACTCATTTTTTAGCCCTTTATCTCACTACCAAATTTTGTCCTTCTTCCACAGAATCAGTGTCTCTTTACGGAATATTGCAACTTCCATTCTTTATTGTACTTATCTAAACCAAACCTGTCCTTTTAAACTTCATCTTCTTTGTAAAATCTTGCCTCAACCTTCAACCTTATGCTGATGAACATGAACTAATAAATATATTGCTTGGCAATGATTTTGTAGCTTTTCTTTTCTTATCTATGGGGATATTACCAACTAGACAAAATGAAAACAGTATGATTATTGAGGGACTCATGGTTTCTATATATTTGTAGTTCCCTAGTCTGTTTTTATAGTATTAAATACACATTGGTTCAAGTACTTCCAATCTGCCATCTCTTCTAGGTATATTTCAGCCTCATGTTGCCTGTGCTGTAAGAGGTAAGCAGTTCCACTCATCATTTCCAGAGGAAGAAGAGCATTTTGTCCTGGGGCACTTTCTTAGGAGAAATGACTTCCCCCACCCTCATAATCTTCCCAGTATTGACCATTGCTGAACTAATTACTGGCAAGGAGGAAGAAACATTCATGATTGGCTCAGATTAATATTCTGGTGCGGAATGAATATTGGAGAATCAACCATTATGTCCACTACATTCTTTCATTTGATAGTCATGTTCATGCTATTAAACAGAAGAGATATTAACCACACAGAAAGCTGTCATTTCGAGGGAGAGAATGGTAGAAAAGAATTGGTACGGCCGGGCGCGGTGGCTCAAGCCTGTAATCCCAGCACTTTGGGAGGCCGAGACGGGCAGATCACGAGGTCGGGAGATCAAGACTCATCCTGGCTAACACAGTGAAACCCCGTCTCTACTAAAAAATACAAAAAACTAGCCGGGCGAGGTGGCGGGCGCCTGTAGTCCCAGCTACACGGGAGGCTGAGGCAGGAGAATGGCGTAAACCCGGGAGGCGGAGCTTGCAGTGAGCTGAGATCCGGCCACTGCACTCCAGCCCGGGCGACAGAGCGAGACTCCGTCTCACACACACACACACACACACACACAAAAGAATTGGTACAAGAGTAAGAGGTAAGTAAATGGACCTGTAGAGTACATGGTATATAAAGAAACTAAGACACAGCAGGGTTAAGAGATTTTTCTAAGGTGGTAGAGCCAAGAATGAAACCTGCTCCATGGTAAGCCTGCCATAGTGTAAGTGAAATATTATCTGTCTTCTTATTACCATCCATACACATATTGCTTTAGGGCATATATATTTTACCTTGGGTTCTATTCATCTTACTAGGCATTGTTAAAAATCATTAGTACTGAAAATATAAATTGGCCCTTTCTATCAGTTCACTCTTCTACCATCTCCAAATGTTTTTGCAACTCTCCACAGTTAAAAGCAAATTCTTGTTTGTTAGCAACAAAAACCCAACATTACTTGACAAAAATCTTCTGAAAATCAAACAAGCAAACCAAAAAAAAAAAAAAAACAAAAAAAAAAACAAAAAAAAACAAACCAAAAACAAAAACCCAGGGAATATACCAAATATCGTATGGCCCCTTTTCTTCTATTCTTATTTGTGTCAATATATATTTCCATGTTTCAGCTGCAGGTAACTTGGCATGAATGTTTAATCAACAGTTTACATTTATTTGTATTAGAAATGAAGAGATGTTTTAAAAATTAAATAAAATCCCATGTAGTTTATATTCACATGCATGAACTCAGTGTTTTCCCACCTAAAAAAAGTAAAAATCATATTTTTAGCTTATCAATAATAAAATAACATTAAAATTATCTCTACAGACTAAAATATATCTAAGAGATTAAATGGATATAGTCACTTCTAAAGAGTTAAAACAATTTGCATGCAACATATTTTCTTTTATCTGTATGTTACCATATATATCCTTATAATTTAGAAAGTAAGTTAGTATCACTTACACAAAATAAACAGGAAAAAGGAGAGTTAAGTGATTTTAATTAGGCCACACACTTAATGCATGCTTTGTTATTAAAGTCTTCATATTCTGAATCTCAGCCCAATGTTTTATGCATGTGACTATGCTATTTTGTTTTATTTCAAGAAATCTATCAACAATTCCAATATATTAAAAAGCAGGATTTATTTCTTGGAAATATGACATTAATTTAAGAAAATAATGTATTCTACTTGGGCAAAGTGATCAAATGACTAGAGAAAATAGAGTTAAATATCAAAAGCCTTTTACAACCAGTTCTCTTTTGTTCACTTGCCTAAACTTGAACCAATGTCATTACTAATACGTAAAGTTATGCAAGGAATGTGTCAGACTGTATAGCTGTATGATGTAATATTTTCCAGCACTAAAGGAAAAATCCAGAAAATTATTTCCAAAGGAGGAAACTCAATTTTCTATTAACTGTAGAACATTCTTCTTTTTTTACATGACCCTCCAGTGACCACAGTGCACAGTTTCATTTCAAAACAGGTGTGGATGAGTATATTGTCTTAATCTTCTTGCTAAAACCAGAAATCTGAGTCTAAAGGAATTGTTTTATTTCTCCATAGAGCTATAAATGCAGTGACAATTGTCAGAGGCCTTCTCAGACCTGAATGTAGTGTGGGGCTGCACGGTTTTCAGCTGGACATGAACTTAAACAAACACAAAGCTACAGACACAAGGGTAGAACGAGGCATGTAATATATGTTGGTTGTATCATTTCTCATGCTCTAAGGCAGTGATTCTTTGCCTCTTTGTTAGATAACAAATGTCTCCGAAAATCCGATAAACACTCTATACTTCCCTAAAAAGTGTACACGAAGTTTGCGTTTCTGAGGGTCCTGGACCAGCAGACCACAGGTTAAGAAATTTTTCATGGAAACAGATCAATCATCCTCCCTTCTACAGCAAGCAATTCTGACTCTGTGGGATGTTTTGATTACTGTTAATTCTGCTTTTCAGACACAGCAAGATACAAGAAAACACAAGGTATTATTGTTGGAGGAGGTTTTAGACGGAAGGTTCCCTTTCTGAATACTTCACTAAAAGGACTCAGAAAGGAATTATATCAAAGTAAACAATACAACCGTAAATAGTGGCAACCGTGATGTTATTAGTCATTATTTTAAAGCTGGTAACACCATACAAAGTGAAATGAGACGACAATATTTTTTTAAAGAGCAGATATCTTATAGTAACAGAAATTAAACAAGTGTTCAGACAAAAAAAAAAAAAAAAAAGCACCGTAATGGAAATATGTCAACAGAGGGACATTGGAACCAACTGAGAGGGTTCCCAGTGGCCAAAGCTGTCATGATTTGAGCAACAAAATAAAGTAGTATTGTATTATAGTACAAAATAGAAATCTCAGAGTCCTTACAGATAAAAATAAGAATTGAATAAATGGGGAAATATTAACAAATCACTCATGAAGAATTCCAAATAATTGGTGTAGATCTTCTGCTTTTTAATTGTTGGAAAATAACTCACCACTCCTTAGTGTGGGCTGTGCATAGTGACTCCCTTCCAAAGAGTTCAGTCTGCAAAGTGCGGGGGGAAAGAGTAACTTCACGGCAGAGAAACTCCACAGGCACTCTCCTCAGCAGGTAATCAAGTTAACCTTAATCGTGATAATCCATGTTGATAATACGGACCCTTGATAGGATGTGATGAGAATCACATTTTAACCCTGTGGTCTTCCTCTCAAAACCACATAACCCAGTCTAGTCATGAGAAAAACATCAGATAAATCCCATTTGAAGGACGGTCCACAAAATATTTGACAGGTACTCAGGTACTTTATAAAACTCTCACAGTCATCAAAAGTAAGTTACCGTCTGAGTGACTGTCACAGCCAAGAGGAGCCCAAGAAGGCATGACGACTGTGTAACATAGTATCCTGGGAGGGATCCTGTGACAAAAAAAGGACTTAAGATAAAGACCAAAGAGGTGTGAGTAAAGAATGGATTTTACTTATTAATATTCTATTAGTGTTAGTTCTTTAATTGTAAATAAATAAATAAATAAAATAAAAATTACAAAAATAAACAAAAATAAAAGTACCATACTAAAGAAAAAGAAAAATAGAGAAAATTAGGTGCAGGGTATTTGGGAACTCTCTGTACTACCTTGGAAATTTTTCTATAAATCTAAAGCTATTCTAAAATAAAATGCTTATTTGAAAAAAGAAAAAAAGAGAGAGAGAGAGACCAGCAAAGGCACTGAAAGAGTCAGGAGAGTCAGTTGTGAGCTCTCCTTTCAAAATCCACAGCCTTAACTGGAAGCAAACTATGTATATAATAATCATATAGAAGTGAAACCTCAATCATGTGTTAAGACTGGGGCTTATGAAAAAACACTGCTACTGGTCTGTAAATGGAAATGTATTAAAAGTTCAGCATTACACTTCCATCTGTACACAACTATTTTTAGATAATCAGATAGATAAATAGATATACAAAGACAAATACTTTATGTATCCAGCTAATAAGTTAAATTGGTAGTTATTCATGAATACACATAACTGTGTAATTATTGTGGAGTGTTTTTTATTTTTGTGTTTTCCTACTTATCCTATAGTTTACTATCACCTCTCTTGACAGTTTCTGGATTTATTTTCCATTCTGTTTTCGCAGATTAAACTGTGAACAGTTTTATGAATGCAGACAGTGAGTGATACCTTTTACAAGATTAGTCTAAACTTATTTGCAAAGAATGTGTTTATGAGTAGATGTG